ACCACAAGTAATAACCATATCCTGCCTATCATGGATTGGAGCATTGTAAACAGCCTTTCAACGATTTCACTCCAAAGCTACATTCGTGTATTACAACTTGCTAACGTTGGTTTGGCTTAGCACAGTGATGGCAAACCTTCTCCAGGCCAAGTGCCCAAAGTATGGGTGTGCGTGTGGGTGTGCGTGTACGAATGCGTGTGTGTGTGGCTGAACCCCCAAAGTGCAATGTGCACACCCATGCACGGTCCCCGCCCCAACGCATACACCTGCAACCCCGTACATGTGCGTGAACCCCTCGCACATGCCTCATGCATGTGCATGTGACACCCCCTGCGCATCCTGCCCCCCGCATACGCAGCCAAGACCGAAGGCCAACTGGCCTGCAAGAGGTGCATGTGCATGCGTGTCAGAGCTGAACTGGGGCGATGGCTCACGTGCCATCAGAGAGGCACTGCGTACCACCTCTGGCACGCATGCCATAGGTTTGCCATCGTGGGCATATCATAGCAAAGTTAATTGGGCAAATGCCCTCCCCTTTCAAACTGTTTAAAATTGCTTAAAAATTAAACTATTGGCAACCTTTTGGAACACACACACACACACACACACACACACACACACACACACAAACACACACAATGTTATCCAACTCGCACAAATCTTTCTTTCAAATAAAATCTGACTAAATTTCCCAGATCTTCTCTCATATGTATTTTCACAGCCTAATCTAGGAATTCAGTAGCTGCCGAACCTGTTTACGAAGCAGTATGTTTTCACCAGGGATGCAAGGCAGTAATTGTGTCTGAGTCAGTCCAAGAGATAAAACTCCACAAGTCACATTCCCAAAGATAATTGGTTCCAGCTGTAAATGTTCTCAGGAATTCAGACAAAACAAGCAACCCATTGCTTCAGTGGATGACCTTCCGAAGTCTGAGTGGACTTTGACAACCAGGTTTCCTTTATTCTCTAGCCAGGGACAGTTGAAGCTGATTTTGGTGTATACCTGGTGTATGTTTTCAGACTTCCAAAGCTTCAGCCTTCCTTGGATGCCCTTCCCTACAAGCAGCCATTCCTTCGCCTTCCACCACCACCCGCCTATTCCGATGGATGCCTAGAGGAGAGATCATGTGAAGATATGATGAAGCTGGCATATGATATAATCATGCACATGCTGTGACTTACATATTTGTATCATGTAATGATATTATATGTACAGTATGATGATGCCGTTCTGCCCATGTCATCATTTGGGATTATTATGATTCTCTGTGGATGTCATCAGCTGCTACCAACATTCCTAAAACTAGAAGTGTCTACTCCAGCTCAGAATTCTTCAGAACCAAATACGGTATAGTAGGGCTTGTTCTTTCTCTACTGTTTGGTTTCTGAGTTAAGGGATTTGTAGGCTTGCTTGTCTTCTGATTTGGAGCTGATCTTTGTGTCCTTCTGAATAACTTGCTTCTGTTTCACAAATCCCCAGATGAGTCACCCAATAGAAGAGACTTGTACCTTTAGGTTGTAGAGAACTTCCTATTGAAAGATGATTTAGGGAAAAGTGTGTCTATTTTAAGGTGCTACATGCAGGTGATACATTCATGCATCATACTGGATGCTTCAATTCATTTTTTGGGAAGTCAATTCCACAACTGCTGCACAGCCACACAATATTCTCTTGACACTCTCTTTCTCTTCCCTCTGACTGGACTGCTTCTTAAGTTGCTTGTTTGACTTTTGCTCAGTGCATAGAATAAATTCAGTGCTCTGGTTTGGAAAATGTAGATCTCTGCTTTATGTGCTAACCCAGTCACTGTAGTTTATTTGACAACTACGATTTAGCATCTAGGTATTTCAACCTAGATAATGTTTATCTATATATTACTCTTATAGCTCTCTTTAATTAAGTTTACTTCTAAGCATCACTTAGTGTTCTCTTTAATGATTAATTGGGATGACGTAAAAGCCAAAATTAAGCAGTCCAAAATGACCCCTAGCTTGTTTCATTCTGGCTTTTACGTCATCACAATTAAACATTACCCAGAGCGGCAGGCAATTTAAAATGAAATTGTTGCCAGAAATAGTACAATGTGTTAGAGACCTGTGTGACGAATCATGAAAAATGGCAAAACACTTGATTGTATATTTTTATTAACTCTCACCCAGAAGTCATTTCCAAAACACAGAACTTCTCAGAATGGCAGCTTTCAAATGATTCAGATTATGACATATTGCAGTAGGTAGATAGGAAGAGAGGCAGCCAGGCAGCCAGGCAGATGCATAGGGTTATCAAAGGTCAGGCCCCGTCAATAATGTATTACGGTATAGACATTTTATTAACTATCCAATGGGTTGCCAATTTCTTCTAAACACTTCCTTACTTGTTTGATGCACAACTTTTGAATATTCCTAAGTCTAGGAACATTTTCCCTGGGGGAAAAAAACTTGGCTAGAAGATAAATTAGAGTAGTAGTACTTTGCAGTAGCAAAGCAGAGAGAAGCGTGATCAGAGAGCTAAAACAATGAAATGTAAAGGCATGGAACATTATAAAGAGTAAAACGGAAGGCTTAGTCAAAAGAGGCAATTTGGAATAAATAGTTGCTGGTCCATATTATTATTTTCCTTTTTCATTATGTATTTTTAAAAGAATAATAATATCAATAAAACCAATAAAATACCAGTAGGACAGACAGCAAATACTGGTTTGTGTTAAATGTAAGATCATTTAATTTAGTCCTGCATGTCTGACATGGCAGTGTCTTGGAACTAAACACAGTTGCTACTCTCGTAGATCATACTAAGATTGCCAATTAGACTGGGTAGTTGAAAAAAATAGCCCAAAGAAGGCAATAGGAATCCTATTCATGTTGCTACAAAGAAACGTATAGAATGCTGTCAATGAAATGACCAGGAGGACATCTTGGTTGGAAGAGATTTTACTGATACTTTTCAACTGTGCTTTGGACCTGACATTACAGTCACAATGTCTTGTGTGTTTTTGACCTAATCACTTATTATCCATCATTCTAGCTCACCTTACATTGCTGTTGTACAAATCAAATTGCGGAGCTCCTTAGAGAGAAGGTTAGTTATTAGAACTCACTACATTGCTAGACCACCAGAATAGAGTGGAATCCAGTGCCTTAATATATATATATTTTTTTTAAATTCTTTCCTGATTCTCATACTTTTCTTTCTCTGCTCATTGGTTGCTGTTGTTGTCTATTTTCTTTTCAGTTCCTGATCTATAATTTCATGCGAGTTGAAAAGCCATCTCTATCTCCCGCACTCCAATTTTGTGAAAGATGAATTCCCATCTTAGGCTTAGTCATTCTAAAAATGTAGTACTAAGGGGGAATATATTAATCATTAAAGAGAGTGAACATGCCTGAGGGTAACAGGTTTCTGCATGCATTTTGAAGATGTACTGATATCTTCACACCTGTTGATATAAATACTTTGTCAGGATATCGTTTCAGCTTCCCAGTCTAGGCTACTGCCATGGCATTTTAACCGAATGATTTGTCCTCCAATCACTGGCTGTTCCACCCTGGATTTGGTCCCAAGTCTAAGTAAGGTGAGTCAGATATTACTGCTTGCTGATATCATACCAAAAATGTATGGCAAGGCCTTATTTTGAGTAGAGTGGATCAGAAAAATGTTTGAACTTAACTGAAATCTAGATAAACAAAGGGTATGCTTATTGGAGCAGTACATAAAAGCATAGGAATTTGTTTTGCAATGAATAACAGCTATATGGCTACTTAAAGGATCTGGGGTAAAAATCTATCCACCATACTTCTTTCTTTCTTTTTTGTCACTGCTGATTTTACTTGATGGGTCCTTGCAAATGCCAAAGTCAGAATTGACAATACTTCCCACAATGGTCCGATCAGCATCACAGATTAAGCCTTCCTCACAAGGGCACTTGTAGTAAACTCCATATAGACTCTGCAGGAAACAGAAAGATACAGATCATTATGCCCAGGCTTATGAGACACATTCAGGCAATGAATGTAAGTCTTTCCATCATTCATAACAACCTCTCCCTTGTCTTGGACACTTTTCCCAAGATGCAGAAAAACAGAGATATTAGCCTGGGATATAGACCAACATTAAGCTATGAATCCGCTGATATATGTTTCTCCATACAAATGTTTCTCACTTTTAAACTCTTCATTTTCCTACTATAATGGTGCCAATGGCTTAATATATCATTTTATTTCTTAGTGTTTGTTTTGCACAAGCCATGGTCACTTTAAAGTTGTCTTCTGTGCTAATAGCTGAACTTAATTGCCATCATGTTGAACAGAATATGTCTCTCATTCTCTCACAATGGGCACACACACACACACACACACACACACACACACACACACACAAATGACACTCACTTTTAGGGAGCATTCTTGGTTTTCAGCTGCCTTGTTTGCACAGCGAGCAAGACTTAAGCCTGTGGTTCGGTGACAACAGTGGCTTTTGCACTGGTGGCTATTAAGACACAGCTCTCCATTTTCCTAGAGAAAAAGAAATGTGAAACCAGAAAGTAAATATGTGAAACACGATAGTTAATATAGCAATGTGTCCATTCTTTTCATTTTTCTACTTCAGACCTTTTGTGAAATGCCTTGTTTCTTTAGATTCATCACTACATTCTCATAAAAATATGTTAGTTCACGGAGTAATAACCAGGTTATGTTGGCCAAATCATTTCACAGGAATTTTGAAGGAATGTCATGTGTTGACACTGATCTTGATTATGTTCTGATTTACATAGTACCCTAGATTTTAAATAAAAGAATAGGACCAGGGCAAATTATTCCTAGCCTTATACTTATCCAAATCTAAAAGAAGATAATTCTGGAAGGATTAAAATAAGGATATCTCACATTCACTTACTAAGTTAATAAATAGTCCTCTTGGATGAATAGTAGACTCTGCCAAGGCAAATGTCAGCAGTGACAAAATCCAAAGTCTGTCCATTGATTCTAGGCAGCCAATGAGTTAATTGAAGTCTCTTGGGATCAGAGAGTCCAGATCTGCCTGGAAGTTGCAGTTAATAAAACCCTTTGTCAAAGTCACGTGAATCTTTCCTTCCAATGAATGTATCTCATGGAAACATGTGATAGTGATAGCAAACTTGATTTGGAAAGAAACACGAGATGAAATAGTAAAGAAACTAGCAAAATATAAGAGCTGTACCCTGTTTCCCCCAAAATAAGATCTCCCTGGATAATAAGCCCAATCGGGCTTTTGAGTGCATGCACTAAAATAAGCCCTCTCCTGAAAATAAGCCCTCCCCAAAAATATTGCAACACAGCAGCAGCCATGAGGTGACCCTGCTTGCTGCCTCCTGCACCTGAAAAATAATAAGACCTCCCTGAAAATAAGGCCAAGTTTATTATTTCAAAAGAAAATAAGACCCTGTCTTATTTTTGGGGAAACATGGTAGTCTATAAACCTTGGGATACTAAGTTAAGAACAGGTCTTTTTTTGATTTTGAAACTTGCAGAGATGAGGACCCTCAATATCAGCAAAGCAGTCATCACACTGATAGATTCATACATTGTGGAAGTCCTTTTTGTGATCTGTTTACCTCAGAATATTCTAAGAGCTCAGCCAGTTGTTGGAAACCAGGATTCAAAGTTAATTGTTACATGTTAATCTAACAACTTGATATGTTTGACATACCATGATGTATGATATGTAATTTGTGCCTTTCCTGAATTTTCCATCTCCACCCAGCATGTCAGTTTTCTGTGAAACTCAGAAAAACTTTGCTCAATCCTTTGTAGGATTTGGCTGAATGTGTTTGTGAACCCAGGCACTGGAAGAGAAAATCATGGTCTCTGGTTTAGTGTAATGTTACAGGTTTTGCCTTGTTGATTTAGTGTGATGTGTAGTCTAGGTCAGTTCATTAATAATGTTTTGATCCTTTCATCAACAGCTTTGATAAACTGATAGAACTTATTTTGATGAAGCAAAATTAATAAGAGCAAATATGAACCTATTTCCTTAGCTTTCTAGTTGGCTTATTGAAAAAAGAAACAGAGAATCTTACAATTTGTTTCCCTATCGTTTATGTTACAATACTTTCAGAGAGCATAAATTTCCCCAGTCTAGAGCCATCTGGACAATTGAACACCTGTATAGATTGGCAGCGTGGCCATGCCAGCTGACAGTGATAAGAATTTTTCCAGTCTAATATTAGGAACTGTATCAGACAAAGCTCATACAGAAAGTTCAGCAGAATCTAGTGGAAAAATCCTGCTATAACAACATGTGTGAAAGACATCTTATTTCTCAAAGTTGGATGCCAGGTTGCCTGAAACAAGAAGTTACCTGGAACCAATAACAGATATGGCCTACTGGAACTTTCTCAGGATCCAAATGTTTGTTATGCAATCCTGGACTAATCGGCCAGTAAGATACTTGTTGATAATGCCTAGCAGAATTATTAGTCTCTATCTAGATATGTAACACTGCCTATCCTAACCTGATTCTGACTGAGAATTATTGGAGCTACATATATCATAAGTAGTAGTAAATAAGTAGTATTTACAGAGAAAAATCAAATACTCTGGTAAGGTCTATGCTGGTTTTAGTTTAACAATGCCCCTGACATTTCTCTGCAAGGATTTGAGAAAATGTGGACATACTTATATGATTCTTGCACATTCATTTAAATATTTTTCATGAAATTAATTAGAAATAATAGCAATAGCAATAGCAGTTAGACTTATATACCATTTCATAGGGCTTTCAGCCCTCTCTAAGCGGTTTACAGAGTCAGCATATTGCCCCCAACAACATTTTACCCACCTCTGAAGGATAGAAGGCTGAGTCAACCCTGAGCCGGTGAGATTTGAACAGCCGAACTGCAGAACTGCAGTCAGCTGAAGTAGCCTGCAGTGCTGCATTTAACCACTGTGCCACCTCGGCTCTAATGAATATATAAGCCAGGTTATGTCACGTTTTCCATTTTTTGGCCAATTGTTCCAATACATTTGGTGAATATTAAATCAGCCAAGCAAGTTCTGTACATTCCCTTTCAATGGGCTTCTTTCTGGCAATGATGGAGTGGAACACTTGATTTCTCAGAAATTCTCAGAAATGACCAGATGCCCTGCAGCAACAAAAGGCCATCTTAGAAAATACCATCTTAGAAAATCATATTTGTACAAATTAGATAGCCAAGGAACTGACTCACTATTAACTCTATTCCAACTAAAAAGAATCAGAGAGTGTACAAAAATAAGCATCAAAATTATTCTTGGGAAGTTCCAAGCAGCAGGTTCATGTTTTGGTCATGTCAACAATTCTTATGTGTGCTTGCTGTTAAAGAGTTGGGATCTCTGCTCATCAATGATCTCTATTTTGCCATCCATAGTGCACTGATTCTTCTGTTGGGCAAACTGGTGGAAGAGAAGGGTCAGCACAATATTGTGGAGAAGACCAGCAGGTGCTCAATGGCTTCCTTATAGGCTTCCTGCTTATTAGATTTCCTGACACCAGGGACAAGTTTTATGAAGACACATTTTTCCATTGACTGAGGGGGGAAGGGGAGGGCTGGTTTCAATGTGTAAACTAGATCCCATGCATGTGCACATCACTTGCCTGCTGCTTGTGTGGCCTGGTCCCCAACAGGCTGGGGACCAGTGTTGGGGATCCCTGCAATAGGGATCTGACTGCAGAAACATTTGGCTAGCTAGCCTCATCTCAACAATACTATATAAATATCCAGTGCACACAGGACAATTTTATACCTCCCTGCTTCTTTCAGATACTAATCCTGCTACACCATACAATGCTGCTAGGCTCTCTGCTGAAGCAATTAAAATCCATCAGATGATCAATTGTGCTTCAAACCAACTTTAATGAGTATTTAACTTGTTAGTTGAGAGTATTGTTGTATTGTGATAGATTTAGATAACCATATATTAATTTTTAAGGACCTTTTAACACCTTTTTATAGTTTCTTTAGGTTTTTGCTTTTATAAAAAAAAGTAAAAAAATACAAAATATATTTTTATAATGCTAGTATAGATGTGTATTAACAGTATAATTTTTTTATTTTGTGTAATTTTTTAGCTTTTAAAATTATTAATTGTCTGTATTCCTCCCTTCTTATGCCGGTCTATGATAATAATAATATTTATTTGATTTGTCAGCTTCATGGTATTTTGGGAGCATAGCTCATCACATTTGCAGGGAACCTGATTAAGATAGAATAATACAGAATTAATATATGATATAAATGTTAACTTTGTTAATGTTCATACATACATTACACTAACTATGATTTACATGCCTACTATTTGTTAAATAAGACACTATTTGCAAGGTTGCATAATATTCTAAGTCATAAAATTTATTGGACCGACTGTACTGTTTGGAAATGTTTATAATCAAAACTATATAAATCACATAATAGCTTAGTGAGATTTATGAATCCAGCCTTAAAGCCAATATCTAGAACAACCAGCTCATTCTTGATGTTGTACAAATTGGTGTCTTGCTATCTTTTGTAGGATGAGCACGTGCTTTTATGTTAACTCTATATTGAACAAGATTTATATGTCCTGTCTAGGAACAAACTATTTTCAAAGGTATAATTGCTAGTACTTAATTTGAAATGGTAGATGGTGGATTAATCTCTATCTATCCTAGTCAAGGGAATTGGTGCCTGTCCTCTGATGTGTGCCCCCAATTAATGGGAAATGGTATCTAGCCTTCGGTTCATCAGTTTTGGGCTTCCTGGCTTTCTCTGCCAATCGCTGTCTGTGGTGCTGAAACAGAGTTCACAAATAAAGCCGCAGAAATTCATCTTCCTTGCTGGTTTGGAAGCAGGAGGGATATGAGGGATATTTCCTTTACAGGGAGGGAATGCCAATTTCTTGGAAAGCACCAGATATGTTGGATGCTGGGAGAGGAGGAACAGGAGCAGCGGCAGCGGCAGTAGTGCAGCAGCAGCAACAAAGGCTAAGCACTCTTCAGGCTCCAGCACCTCCCACCGAGCTGTTCAGTATGGAAACAAATAGCTCTTCTTGCAAATGGTCATCTGAGCATCTGTGGCTGGGGCAAAGAGTCACAGGAAAGGCAAGAGCTGCTTCACAGAATCCTGATTTGTCAGTGAGGTGGAAAGCCAACCTTGCAGCTCCTCTTCCTTGGATTCAGCTTCCCTATGTGTTCCTGGAGTGAGAAGACAATCGTTTTTCTGTTTGACCCTGAACTTCAAGACATGTCTTACAAGACATAGCCATCTCTGAAGCCATGGCAAAGATGCTCCCAGCACAGGAAGCAGCAAAGATCTATCATACCAACTATGTGAGGAATGCTCGAGCCATGGGAGTGCTGTGGGCACTGTTCACCCTCTGCTTCGCTGTGATCATGGTGGTAACATTCATCCAGCCCTATTGGATTGGGGACAGCATTGACACTCCACAAGCTGGTTATTTTGGCCTCTACTCCTATTGCATTGGAAATGCCCTGACCAGTGAACTCATCTGCAAGGGTAGCCCACTGGACTTTGGCACCATCCCTTCAAGTGCTTTCAAAACAGCTATGTTTTTTGTGGGAATTTCTACCTTTCTTATAATTGGCTGCATCCTCTGCTTTAGCCTCTTCTTCTTCTGCAATGCAGCCACTGTCTACAAAGTGTGTGCTTGGATGCAACTGGCAGCATGTGAGTTGAACATAGATAACCCAGGGGATAGATTAAGGCATCAATTAAACATAGCTTCAATGTGCTAAGGGATTCCTGCTCAAGTATATTATGCTTGGGGATACCATAACTTCTTTGTCCTATCTCCCAAATTTGCAGTGCAAGGAGCATCTATTTAAAGTCAATATATAAATCTGCCATTTGGATTGAAGTTCCATTGGCATCACTCCTAATAATGAAAAAGAAAAACGGATTTGTGGTACTTCAAAGTAAATATTAGTTCCTTGATGATGGAATTCCTTTCAGTTTGTGAATATAAATCTGCTATTTGGATTCAAGTTCCATTGGCAGCTTTTTCCTGCTGTCGCTGAAACCAAAATATTCATTTCTTTAGTTCCCTTGTCAACCAGCAATGTGTTTATTTTAGTGAGATGATCTGTTCTTGAAGTATATTGCAGTCTGTTAAGTGATATGCAATGACACCTAATTGTATAATCTATTTGAAGGACAAGCAATTGATGCACTTTTTCTGATTCTTTGTTTTTTTTTAAAAATGAAGTTATGTTTTAATGTTTTTTCCCCTCTTAATCTGCTTTCTTTGCGGCTCCCATAACCACTGTCTCTGGTGAAGGGGCAGATGTAATCATGAAGTGACTATATAGAAGTGGTATTAATTTAAAACATCACTAGAACAAACCATGAATGAGCAAGGAGAACACTGGAGGAATCTTGCTGAATATGATCCAGGCTCCATCTTCAGTGCTTTTGACAGGCAGATTTAGTGCTTGGCATTGCCTAGAGAGGAGATGTGTGTTTTAAGAAAACTGCTTCTTTCTGATGAAAAGGAGATGCTTTATACAAGACATTAGCAGCTAGAAATTTCCGAGGCCAAAGGGAAAATGAGCTTCTGTTTGTATTTCCTTTTATGTATGAGAGAAGCCAGAAAATCATAAAGATAGTTGCAGCCTAAGAAAAACAGGGTAAAATTGTGATTCATAAGAGAAAACTGGCAGTACAATAGTCACTACCAGCTGAAACCTTTCAGATATGTTAAACTACACTTCCTATAATTCTGTGCCGGTGTGGCCATGGGAAGGTTATGATGAAAGTAAAGTATATTGCTGCAATATTTACTAGCAAAATGGTACAGGTTTTACTAATTCAAAATAAATAGTGGGTTGGGGTCAAACATAGCCATAATTATAATAGATTCACCAAAAATATTTCAACTTAAGATCCAGTTTTAATTGGAATACTTTACATATAACATGATGGATAGTATTCCCATATTTGTCAGCAATGTTATAGAAAGAAAAATTGTATTTAAGGAAACCTGAGCCTAACAAGCATTGCAAGTCAGAACACACACAGCACACATACAAGATCCTAGAGGCAAAATTAAATAATGCTGTTTGGGAAATAGTATGTAGACAGAAACTCAACATGAAATATATCCTGCCTTCTATTTGTTCATTATGGGTTTTTGCTATTAGTGACAAAGGTTTTTTTTTAATTTGCTTCTTCCACCTCATTCTGAGAGAAATAAATGAGCTGCTTTATTTAACGTTATGCAAAACACTAGCATTCTTTGCTTGATGAAATGCACTTTAGCTTTCCTTCTTCTAAAAATTACCACAAATTCAAATTAGAGCCAGAATTAGGTAATGACTTTCCATTCCGCCTGGAATATTCTGCTTAAATATGCTTAAGCTAATTAAGGCCTGCCCGTAATGGGGATGCCCAAAGATGAGCATAATTCTCTGCAGGTTTTCCATAGTGAGAGAGACCTGCCATGTGGCCATGTGATCTTAAAGCAAGAAGATGCTGAAAGCCAGTAACGTTATTGGAAACCTTTTTCAAATATTCATGCCGGGGAACAAAGCCTGGTTACATGATCTGCAGAGGCTTCTTCAGCAAATAGAAATGCATTGTGTGAAAGAGAGGTTAAAGTAAGTCTGGCAGCACAGCAACAGGTTGAGCAGTAGTAGCATTTTGAATAAGCTGCAAGGACAGGCATGGCATTAAAGAAAGCTGTAATTCTTCCTGGCCTCAAGCATAAATAACTTAAGAGGCTTGAAAAGGCTTCTGATTAACCCACATTGGCTGAAGAGCACAATGCTGGAGAACTGTAAAGATCCTAAGTCCATGATGGTGAACCTATGGCATGCGTGCTAGAGGTGGCATGCAAGGTCCCCTCTGTGGGCATGCGAGCCATCGCCCTAATTCAGCTCCACCGTGCATACACATGTACCTCCCACCAGCCATCTGGTCTCTGAATCTCTGTCGTGCATGAGCATGGGGGGAGGGGTACATGTGGGGGTTTCTGCTGCGCATGTGGGGGGCATGGGGCATGCATGCTTTGGGCACTTGGTCTGGAAAAGTTTAGCTGTCACTGTCCTAAGTAACAGGGGAGTATAAAAGCTTTTCTTAAAATAATAAATCAGTAAATTGCCACAGCAACTTCGCGATATGTTTCTATCCAAGTAACACACTCACATTCATCTGAATATTTACCTTCCTCACAATAATAAGAATAATAATGTGTTATATTGACCTTAGAATCTGGCTCCTTGGAAATCTCAACATACTTCTATATAAATTCCTGGATGTTTAAATTTACATCTTAAAGTACTGTACAGGTAGTCTCACTTAATGACCACAACTGAAACAGGCAACTCTTATCACTAAACAATCTACTTGTTTTGCAAGCCATCATGTGACTGCAACTTGCAATTTTAACTGTCCACTTCTGCATTGACTCTGCCTGCCAGAAGCTGGCTGTGAAGTGTGCAAATGGCAATCGGATAACCCAGAATGCTGCTACAGTTGTAAGTATGAGGACCCTTCCTAAAGTTACTTTTTTCTGCACAATTGTAACTTCAAATAGTTGCCAAACAAGGCAGTTGTTAAGTGAGGACTGCCTTGTCATAGATGAAAACCCAGGATGCAAAGAAAGGGAATGAGTAGATATTTAGAAATCTTTTCTTCTTGAATGTAGGACAGACTCTTCTTTCAATGCCATAGCAAATAACTAGCCTTTTAGTAAAGGAAAGGCTCGACTAGCGCTTCTCTGGACAACAATTGATCTTGTTCTGATGTAGGCTTCCCAAGATCATGACGCAAACTCCTGGTCTGACAAAAAACCCTTTTATTAATTTACTGTGAATTTTGCTCATTCACATCCAGCGAAGTCTTTTCAGGGAGGATTTACAGTCACAGACCTTATCTGGCTTGGAAAGCTGCCAGGCTAATATCTGCAAAACTTGGCAAGGAGTCTAAAAGTCACAAGACTAATTGTCTACTGAAACTCCCCTTTCACTCCTTTAAGGTTCCCACATGGCAAGTAAACACCGTGCAGCAGTTTCCCACTGCCGCGCAGTGTCATTTGCTGGACACGGACTGCAGTCTCTGCACTCTGCAGAACGGCCACGGAATCACAAACCCCCTCCAGCTAAACAGGAGTGTTGACAACATGTTTTTAAAAAGTTTGGGTGGAATTGGTACAATTTATTATGTGGCTGCACGTGGGTGGCACCTCCTGATTCTCCGGACTTTGGACCTTTCAACAAAGCCTTTCCCCACCCTGCGCCGGGGGACTTGCTTTTGTGGAAGCTGCCATCACAAATGGAGCTGGGTCCGGTCGTCTCCTCCCCGCCTTTCCTTCCCTTTTTATGCCCTGTCTCGGACGTGCGGGCGTGCATGCTGTGGACTCGCCTGCTTAGACACCGAGGTTGCTGCATGCTTAGCTGTGGCCGTATCTCCTCCCTCCCTTTTTCCCCCTCCCTCTTACGTGCCCCCTTGGTGCAGCGGGCTAACGCCGGTGAAAAGAGTGCAGCAGACAGCATAGCACAACTGAGTAAATTATAAACCACAGATTTTAATCCTATTTATTTTTTTAATGGTNTTCAACCTTTCCATATTTTGGGGTGTGTGATGGATTAGGCATCGGGTTCAAGACTTGCATCAGTTGCTTTAGCCCAGTTTTATTGCATTTGGTCAGTCACAAACAGCGTTGGTTAAAATCACAGGCAACTGATCTAAACACGCAGTTAATAAGATTGAGATTTTAGTGAGCAGATTCAAACGCCAATATAAAGCTATGTTTTTAGAGACCTAGATATTGCTTATGGAGAACATCCAGATCCTGCAGAATCTGTCTCAGCTGTTCTTCAAATCTGAATCTGACTCTCGACATTCTCTGGGTTCTAATGCAGGAAGATAGGCACAGTCGAGCACTTAGCTGTCATATTCTTGCACCGGGCTTGATCCAGCCTTGTCCCTGTTACTCATCATCAGTGGTGGGATTCAGCCAGTTCGCACCTATTTGGGAGAACCGGTTCTTAATTTTCTAAGCAGTTCGGAGAACTGGTTGTTGGAAGAAATCTCATTTTGTTCCCCCCTTCCTCACTTTACCGAGCTAATCCTGTAAAGAAGGCAGGAAGGAAACAGTCTGGTGTTGTTCCTAGCCTCATCTTTATTACCCTGCTTTCAAAAACCGCCTCTCCCGTTAACCCTTGTTACATTGTAACAGCTAAGGCGAAGCACCCATTGACCTGAGTGATGTTGAGTTGGCCACGCCCACCCAGTCACATGACTACTGATCCCCGCCTACCCAGCTGGTCATCAGGGCAGAGAACCAGTTGTTAAATTATTTGAATCCCACCACTGCTGCTCATGAATATGCAAGCGCCTTCTAGCCCCAAACCAGAAATAGCTCTTTTTCTTCAACTTTCTCTGAGATAATGTAGAGTAGAGCAATACAAAGATAACCTTGAGAAAGAGTTGTTAGGAGAGCCATTAAGAGAAAGTAACTGACAACACAGCCCTGGGAAAGGAAAAAGCAGGAGGGGGAATTCAAAACAATGCTATGTTGATTATGTTTGGTTTAATGATGAGCGGAGGAAAGCTCTGGCAGGCTTTCAAGTTAATGTTATTATACCATACAACAGTTCAGTTGTATTCTTGAAATCCTTGTCATGTGGTATCCTGATCTGGTCTACATCAAAGGATGGAGAGATTATGCATGATGACACTTCACAGTGGAGAAGCTGCCCATCCACTTCTCTTGGATAACAGGCTGAACTAGTATGCAGAGAACTTGGTCACAGTCTTCTTTCGTTTAATGACATTCAGGGCACTTTTAATTCAATTATGAAGTTAAAATTATATACAGCCCCAATTTATACAAGTTGATACCTTATTTTCCCTCCCTTTTTTGTAATAACATGCTGTGTCTAGATTGAGAATGGGGGAGTTAGTGTTAGTGGGTTAGTGTTATTTTTTATTCCTTGAGCTGAGGAGGAGAGAGGAAAGAATGAGGAGGAAGACTCTGAACTGAAGTATTATGAATGAAGTGTTTTTCATCTCTTCCTCCAAGGCACCCGCTGACTTCCTGAACCTCTTCCAGTCATCTCAACCTGGGAATCTGCTTTATGAGATGTTAGTATTTTTGGAACGACTTAGTGAAGGGCGCCAGTCTCCACAGTACCAGTCAATGCAGTGGGACTATAACAAAAACTCCCTCCATGAAATCATCTTTGGTGACAATTCCCGTCTTTCTGAGCGCTTGCTGGCTCTCATTGTTCATCTTGAAGAAGATGTGCAGACTCAGGCTTGCAAAGTGATCCTCAGCCTGAAGATTAACAAGGAAGAAAGCAGGATCAGTAATGGGCATAGTCTGGGGTCTGAGATTAGTGCTTACCCTCTTGAATCCACCAGAAAAAGCCAGATTGCCAATGGCTCCCTTTTTAACCTGTCTTCAGTCCCAACCACTGAGTCTTCCTCTAATGCTCCTCAGAGTGAAAAAGGTGGCAGCTTTTACCCTCCCTCGAGCACCAATGGGACTAGTGGCAGCTTTCACCTTCCCCAGGACACCGATGAGACTAGTGGCAGCTTTCACCTTCCTCAGGGGTCTGAGATTAGTGCTTACCCTCTTGAATCCACCAGAAAAAGCCAGATTGCCAATGGCTCTCTTTTTAACCTGTCTTCAGTCCCAACCACTGAGTCTTCCTCTAATGCTCCTCAGAGTGAAAAAGGTGGCAGCTTTTACCCTCCCTCGAGCACCAATGGGACTAGTGGCAGCTTTCACCCTCCCCAGGACACCAATGGGACTAGTGGCAGCTTTCACCCACTCTTGGGCACTAATGAGACTAGTGGCAGCTTTCACCCTCTCTTGGGCACTAATGAGACTAATGGCAGCTTTCAACCTCTCTTGGGCACTAATGAGACTAGTGGCAGCTTTCACCCTCTCTTGGGCACTAATGAGACTAGTGGCAGCTTTCACCCTCTCTTGGGCACTAATGAGACTAGTGGCAGCTTTCACCCTCTCTTGGGCACC